AGTTTTTCTTCAATTTTAGCATGAACTAATTTCTATTTTCTAGAGGTTCCGATATAGCCTAACTATGATTATGTGAATCTTTCTTACTTGAATTAATTAGTGTTGGTTCTGATTGTTGAGTATCTCTTTCTGGACTTAATACTTGAGAATGACTGATCACCATTCACATGAGTTGGGATTCAATTTGTGACTGAGAAGTAATAATTGTTTCAACATTTGTTTGAGATACCACAGAGACTCTTTAGTATAGAGATATCTATGGACTTATGTAATCTTTATGGGTTTCTTTCTGTTCTTAATGAATTTTTACTAGGTTTGAATTTTCACAGAGATGTAGAAAATTGTCTTATTGAGATATTTCGTTGATGCTGAAGAAAGATTAATGAATAAATTAGAGAGACTCAATTATCAACATTAGGGAACACTTATAATTAATTCAATTAGGATATTCGCATATAATTAGTTATGGTGAATCAAAAACTCCAGAATCTTGTTTTCCTGATTTTTACCGGTTTGGTTAAATCTTGCTATTTTAAACTTATTGGTCCAACAATTCATTCATATTCGAGCAGTCAAATAGATCATCGTTTAATAAATTTTGATACTTATTTGTATTTTTTCATTCCTCGTGGTACGATACTCTTGCTCATTCACTTTATTATTTGTTATGATTCGTGCACTTGCGATTTCAACCTACAATCAGATACTTCCACAATGTCTTCCTTAAGGTTGTATATAAGAGTCTGAATTTCCACAAGTAACTCCCCCTGAAAGTAGACTTGGAGAAATACATAGCATCTTCATGAAAGACAACATCCATAGTGATAAACATGCATTTAGTAGGGGGATGGTAGCACATGTATCCTTTTTTACGAATAGCATAGCCAACAAAGACACATTTCAAGGCTAGAGGCATTAACTTACTGCGTTGGTGTTTGGGGAGATGAACATAGGCAACACATCCGAAGACATGAGGAAGGATGTTTGGGATTGTGAGAGCAACAACAGCTTCTGCAAGTGCCTGGAAAAATGCCCTGAAGTTGATAGAATGAGATGGCACACGATTGATGAGATATGCTGCAGAGAGAAGAGCTTCGCCCCAATAACATAGGGACATGTGAGCCCCAAGGAGGGAAGCACGAACAACCTCTAATAAGTGTCTATTTTTGCAATTGGCCACACCATTCTGTTGAGGTGTACCTATAGTGGTGGCAATGCGGCTCGTTGGTTTTTGGGTGAGCTCGGCTCGTGCCCGAGCTCGCCCAAAATGAGCATCTCGCCTCACCGGCTCATCTTTTTTAATTTTTTTTACTACACTACTAAACTAAATTTGAAATTCAAAAAATATATATATACACATTTTCTAATTTTTTTTTGAAATCTACATTTTCCAAAACATTTATAATTTTTAAAATAATTAGAAAAAAATTTTATTTGTTAAGTTTTATTTTTTGTTTACCAGGTTATACTATATTAAAGATTTAAATATATATATATAAACAAATTTTGTAAATATACATTTTCCATTACATTTTTATTTTTTATTTTTAAAAAAGATAAACGCTCATCCTTTATTCGGGTTTGGAACCAGCTACTTCAACTTTGAGTAGGCGAAGTTAAAAATTGTACACGAACAACTTTTTACGTGTACAATTTTTTTAAAAAAATTATAAAGGTATGAAAATAAAATTTTGTGATGAATGTGGTGAAATTAAATATCACTTACTTGATTACATGCAATTTCGGCATATTTATCTTGAATGCGATAATTAGCGTCTTCACAGTCCTTCACGCACATTAACGCTTCCAAAATATCTTTTTTTAGTCGACTCCTAACCTCAGAGAGAACCCTTTTCCCTACACTAAAAGCAGACTCCGAAGTTACAGTGCTAACCGGAGGTGTTAATAGATTTTTTACAATTGCAGAAACTAT